AAACAAATTTTCAATATTACCTCCAATTGTTTACGGAAAATATGCTTGTCAAGCAACTAAAATAAGGTTTTCTCCTAGTATACATAAGTCATACTACGTATAACACCAAATTATACCATGAGATTGGTATACCATGTGCATGGTATACTGATCCCAAATACGGTACCATTTTTCTTAACAAACCCAACATGTAGCGCACTTCTCCTACTTCGTTTCTTTTCTTCTTCTTTCTCTCTGATCTATAGTCGCACTCTCCACTCATTGTTCACCATCATTTTTTTCAATGGCGGACCCAAAGATTTGTGAGAGCGGGAGCACACTAGACACTAAAGTTTGTCTATAATAAAAACTCCAAATGTAATAAAAATGGTTAAAAAAAATGTATTAAATTATACAGAATAGTTAATTACATTTTAAATAGTTCATTGCTACAACTTTGGTAAATCAATTATACGAGTTTTCATATTCTAAAAATGTTGCATAATGGTTTCATTATCGATGCTTCTAAAAACATCTCTCGATGTTGCACACCTAGCAATCTGTAAGATAATCATCTCTCATTTTATTGCAAAGATCTGTCTTGATAATAATCATCGCAGAGAAGACTTTTTCAACGGTGACCGTTGTAACTGGTAACACTAAAACCAACTCAATCAGACGATATACCAAGTGAAAAGAATTGTGAACTTTAAGCTCAATCATCTTCTTACAAACTTCACTAATAGTTTGTACGGCAGAAAATAACTCATTTGTTCTCATTTCATATATCCACACCTGGAGTTGCTCTTTCAGCTCCATTCGATTAACAAATGAAAAATCGCATGAATATAACCGTAACGTTTTAGTATCTTAATGATCAAATACTAGTATGAAGGCGGGGCACTCGTTTTTATCCTAAGTACTACTAGTTAAATTTCGGGCTTGAAGCGGGGCACGTGCCCCCCTAGCCCCCCCTTAGGTCCTCCACTGCTTTTTTTTTTCTCATTCTTTGTTTGCTTTAATTTTTTCATTATCAAAAAAGCAATCATGTTTCCAAATAATTTTTTTAATTTAGAAACGATGATGTACGCATTACAATTTTGAGATCAAATTTTCATCCTTTGAAAAGAAATTGATTATGTTTTCTTTCGGTCTTAGTCCTTATTCATACACTTTTTTTCTTTTTTGCTTCAACTTAAATTACAACCAAAAATTTAATTATTTTTTCTTCAAAATAAATAAATTTATATTTTATGCACTTGTGTGATTTATATTTCAACATGTGTGAGTTGTGTTTATAGACCATTTCTAGAATTACATTTGATAGTATATGAAGTTATATCTTCTCATGGGCAAGTGACATCTTCTTCTAGATAAGTTACATCATCTTATACGCTGGTTACATTTAGACTTGCATTAATAAGTTACATTTTGCATACACCTAGATTTTCCATCAACGCGAGTTACATTTTATATAAAACGAGTTACATCATAACATAAAGCCCTGTTAGTGAAACAAAAAAAATCATTTTTTGGAAAAAAATGATTTATTTGGCAAACAAGTGATTTTCTTAATATTTTCTTAGAACATATTCCCTATTCAAGGAAGACCGTGCTATTGAAACAAAAAAAAATTGTTTGCAAAAAATGATTTGTTTGGCAAAAAAGAATGATTTTAAGGGGAAAAAACACTATTTATGGCCTAATTATTAAAAAACATATTCACTACGTAGTATTTACTTAAAGTAATTGAATAATTAGACACCAATGTTTTATTTCTTATTATCTGTAGACTGTAGTAGACAAGTTACATTTTTTATCAGCTTGAGTTACATTTCTTTACATACACGCGAGTTACATCATGTTGGTACTGGAGAACGAAAAAAAAATATTGTTCACCAGCATGAAGAGTAACGTGCAATTTTGTGTGTGGGAGAAGCATGCTCAAGGTGGGGTGCTCCCACGGTGTATGAACTACATATAACCTATGAAGCACAGATACTTCACTAGGGTGCCGTATCGGCGTATCGGAAACGTTCATGTATCCGATACTCTAGGATACATGTACCGTACGTTCTCAGGCCGTATTTACAACTTTTAAAAGTTTCCATTTTTTGGTAATTATTTTAAAATTTCGGATACGCGTATCCTGACGGAAACACATATCAACTTTTTAAAAAAAAATCTTCCCAAAAAAACTTTTTAAAAAACACTTAAAATTTACATAAATAATAAAATTCTTAAAAAGTGAAAAACTAAAAATAATTTTTACCTTGCTTTTATGTGGTACACAACTAATGGGTCTAGTCCTAATGCACATATTCTCCTATGCCTAATTCTAATTATCCCTGGAAATTAATAGCTCCAACGGAAATATGTATTCGAACTTTTAAAATATTGTTTTGTAACTTCATTATTCTAGAACTTTGAGTACTTTCACTTTTAATTTCAAAACTGTAGTTGTTTGATTTATTTCTCATTTTAAATTAATGACTTATTGACTATATTGATATTTCAAGGTACACTAATGTATACGAGATAAAATTTGAACTTATTTCTAAGTATCTTGAAAATGTAAAATGTTTTAATGCCATGAATGAGTAGACGTCATAGGATAATATATGTGTATTTTTTTTAATAAAAAAATGTATTTTTAATATTTATAAATACATCCCTGTAACTTTCAATATTTATAAATACACCCCCATAACTTTTAATATTTATAAATATGGTCCCGTATCTATATCCTACTTTTTTTTTGTTTTATCGTATCCCCGTACCCGTTTCCGCGTTTCCACGTTTCCGCGTACCGGTATCAGTGTCATATAGCATGTAACCAGGGGCGGATCCAGGGGTGGGCGAGCCGGTGCTGGCGCCACCCCTTTGCCGGAAGAGTCAAGCCATATATATATGGTTATCTGCCGGCGCCCCTTTTCCTGAAACGTTCATCTTCTTCATAAGATTGCCGGCGTCGAGCCTGTTTCCTTGCCAAGCTTGTTTTTTTTTTAAATTTCATCTAGTTAAACGGTACCGTATGCTTAAGTGAAACGGCAAACAACAGTAAAAGGCCAAATGTAGTCTAAACTACGTCGGTTTATATAGATCAAAATAACTGAAGAGACGGAAGCTAAATAGCTAATCCTTTGAAATTCCACTGGAAGCCTTAAAATTTGAAAAGTTGAAGTGGTGCTGCCTAATCTACCCACGGCGTTTGCACATCCGGTGAACGGGAGAAGCCTGAAGGCAGGCTGTGATTCTTTGAAGGCAAATTTTACTTTCATTGGTTTTATAGTAGAAGTTTTACGTAGTATGACATACGAATTATATTATGTGTGTGTCAATGATGAAAATTAGGTAACTACAATATATTTTGAGAAATATTTATGATGAAAATAATGAGGTCAATGTTGATATATGTGATATTATAGAATGTGTATTATTTTAATATTCGATGATTGATTTATCATTTAAGAGTGCTAATTATTCTAAAATGAAAGAGAATATTACCCGAAATAGGACTAAAAAAGTTTGAAAACTCCAAAATAGGACTGTTATGTTTTTATTCCTAAAATAGGACTAATTACTGCCATGTTTTGGCAGTACCAGACTTTCAACATGGCAGTATTTTCCAAACTTGGCAGTAATTACTCCTATTTTGGGAATAAAAAACAAGGCAGCCCTATTTTGAAATTTTCAAACTGTTTTAGTCCTATTTCAGAAACTTTCCCAAAATAAAAATGCAAAGTTTTACCTGGAATGTTAAAGTGACAAGTAAAAAACTTAAGCGGTGATGAGATATAAATTCAGGCATGAAGCCATTTAAATTAGCGGATGAAGTTTCTTACATGTAAATTGTAATTAACTAATTACTATATGAATTTATTCTTATATAATTCTTTAGATAAACACGTTTCATATATTTTTCAGCACCCCTTAAAAAACGTTCTGTTCCGCCACTGCATGTAACCCCTTGTGCTCTTGTGTTTAATTAAAAATTGAGATAGTATTTAGAAATGATTGCTGATTTCAAGGAGAACTCCTCAAATTCCTAAACATACTCAATTTAAATAAGTGCTTGGTTGGTGTAGTTAAATACTTTTCCTTTAAGACCTGCTCGCTTTATTGTGTAGTTAAATACTTTTCTGCTTGCATAGGATCATTAGCCTAAGTTAAATTTAGAATGTGCAAGCTACGTACAAACCCACCAAATTCCAAACGTCTTTGTACAAATACAGTTTCGAGACTTGGGTGTACAACTTTAGGCTCAGAGTCTAGTTTTCAGACACATACCTCCCACATTAACCTGATCAGGTCCATTACTCCCCTTATTTGACAGCTGCCTATGAAGATTCAAAGGTAACTAGTTCGGCGGAATCACGAAGATATTGAAGTATTTTATTGAAAGTGTAGAAGTACTACTGAGCGCTCCAAGATGTTCATAGAAGCAGTTTTTTAGAAATTGGGGGACCAAAACTGATTCTGATTCTACTTCTGCTTTCAAAAAAGAAGCGGAAGCGTAATCAATTCCAACACTCTCTAAATGAAATGGCTTGTGTGATTAGGAGGATTCGTGGATCGCTCCTAAAGGCGGTTTTGAAAACGCTCACAGATCAAGCAACCAAACCCATAAAATAGCCATTGGAGCCACACCATGCTTCTCATCTCTAAAAATAGTACCAAGTACATACTTGTATATTATACGGAGTTTAATTTTGCCTCTCCTTTTTAAAACGATTGAACAATATTAGTTCTTAAGTAAATGTTTAAACTCAAATGTATTTGAATGTTAAATGGGTGTATAGATTCAAATGTTGTAGAAAATGCACGGAAGAAACATTGATACTTTGAAGAAAATAAAAACATCATTGGCGTTTTCAAAATTCATGAACTTTTATAATTTTTCATATGACACCAAGACGTAAAGCATAACTCGTGGTTTGAAATAAAGTAGTGAAATAGCGTATATTTTTATGCCCCAACAAATTTAATTTCTGGATCCGCCACTGGCTAGACTTGATATGGACACGATGGTGATAATAATAATAATCCTTAATTGTAATAACCAGATCGTAATGTTTCTGTACATCTGTGACATGCTTGAACATTTTTTTTGTCAACAAAGCTTGCACAATTCTTTGACCTATATGTTGTAGAATATCTAACAATATATCCTATACGCTGTATAAAAGAAGGGAAAATTTCTCAGGTAGCCTTTAGGTGTATATATTTCTCAAAATGATCATTTTCAATGCAAACTCCTGAGATTGGAAAACCTATCTGCACTTACATGATACTTATATAATTATGTACACGGCGATAGATGGGGTTATAACAAAGAAGGAAGAAGCCAAAGATTGGAAAGTGAGGAAGCCATGGAAAGAAACCAAGTGAAGAAGGCCATGGCAGCTGATATTTGGTATCTACTGCAAAGCTTTGCAGGACATGGAGTTCCCTCTGCTCTTAAGAAAAGGTCAACAATGGCAGCAGTTGAGGTAGCTGAAGCTAGTGTGAGGATTGATAAGGCCTGTTCTCCACCGTAGGAAATCAAATCAACGATCAAGATGCAACAATACCAACAATGCACACAAATATCTTTAAATTTTCCAAGAGAAATTTGATCACTAATCTCCTAAGTTATTCATGTAGTCACTACTTATTCCAGAATATTGCTCTCAAATCCAAACATCTAATTAGTTATTTAATATTAACCATTTTGTAACATAATGTGTCATAACGAAAAGTCCATATTCACAGATTTTAACCACGGTAATAATGGAATATGGACCTTTTAAGGTCGCATTATAGACTCCGCTAAACTGAGCAAATGTGTTAAGTGAAATTCAATCTACAAGTGATAAATTGAGTAAGTTGCCCAACAAGTGATGGGAAAGAACTTTTTAAATTGTCTCATAATTCAGATTTTGCTCCCTAATGATCACTCTAATGTATCATCACCCCCCAAATTTCGGCTTCTCTCATATTTACTGTCAACGCCAAGTGTTCACGACTTTGCCGGACTTATATTATACTCCCAAGAACCAGTCTAAACTCTTGGAGAAGTAATTCGAGTTTTCGAAGAATATGTTATATTCCTAATGTCAATTTATATACCACCGCTCGCGCAAGAAGCTAACGCCTCAGTGTCATTGTCACTTGAGGCGAGACTACTCAAACTAGCCCCTGGGGCTAGACTGCTAGAGGATGGAAAATCCTATTAAATTCACCTCTCCTTGATGACTTGAACAAAACATGGAAGGGATCTTAAGTGTGAGATATGATCTAGAGAAAAGTACGGAAAAGGTACTTGTAGTTGAGCCCGTTTTCAGATAGGGTCATGTGTTTCATTCTTTATCAAAGTGTTTATGTGTTTGAATTCCGTTATCACAAGAGGGTCACGCCGTTAAAAACATCTGGAAAAAACCGTTAAAAGAAAAATACTGGAAGGTGCACCTCTCAATAAGACGACCGCTACGCCATCTTTCTTTTTTGTATTCAGACACCCTTGTCACCGGAAAGTCCACCGGAAAAGTGATATTAGCGAAATCATTTTTTAAAAATAATTCAAACAGATCTGAAAAATCCAAAAGCGAAGGTGGTTTGGAGGTCATCTTGACGAGGCGCACCTTACGGTATTTTTTTTTTAATTTTCCGGATGAAAATCGGAGTTACTTTTAACGGTCCTTTTCAGACGTTTTTAACGGCGTGACCCTCTTGTGATAACGGAATTCAAACACATGGACCACTTTGATAAAGAATAAAACACATGACCCTATCAGAATACGAGTCCAACCACAAGTACCTTTTCCGTACTTTTCTCTATGATCTACTTATATTACTCCCATTTGTCCTCTTATACATTTACTGACATGATGACCACATATGATCCATATGTGCTAGCTAGAACCAAAGTTTTTCCGTTTTGTAACTTTGACAAATATCAATTTCTTATTTATTAGTGTCTTAACATTGACCATGTCTAGTTTATGTCTTATAACTTGGACCATGTTCTCGGAAAAAGTATCAGAATTTCCGTATTATGAGTTCTCCCATATCAATATTTCAATGTGGATGTCAACAGAATCTATTTAAAAGTGATGTCATAGAAAATCAGAAAAATGTCAAGAGATAATGAGAATTTAGGACCATTTCAAGACATGTTAAGGAGCACATACAGAAAATATATATACTCCGTACATAATATAAATAATCTCCTCCTGTTTATGTTTATGAAACTAAAACATGATCTAGTCCCGGCTTAAATATTAAATATTTGATTGAAAAATGATACGATTATTTAGACAATAACAAAATATAATCATTCGAGTATATTTTAATAAATAATTGTGATGAGTATGTAATCTAATGAGGTCATTGGTGAGTATGTTATATGCGTATTCTTTGATGATTAAGTTTAGATTTTAGAGTGCCAATTATTTCATAAATTAGAAAAATAAAATTAAAAGCTCAAATTGAGACGTTCGAATCATACATGTGAGAAACTTAATGTGGTGTATTTTCGCACACAAAATTGAATATGGATATCGAAACATCCACAAAGTTTTGTATCACTTCAAAATGACGATATTCAATTTCATAAATTCCAATATAAATACGCAGTATCTATCATTCAATAATTTAGTGTGATAGAAGTGAGGAGTTAGTGAGGAAGGTGGAGGGGAAATACCCAATCTCCTAAAACAATGACCAGAAGTATTCCGGGTTGCCGGACCGGGCACCGAACGTATACTGAATACCCATCAATCAGAGCTAGAGTAATACTCCATGGGATCACCAAACCCATGGTTGTCACTAAGAAGCTGCAAATTAAATTTCATAAATAAATCATCTCATATCGAACAATAAATAAATAAATATCACTTCCGGTCTCTTACTCCCTTTATCCCAAATTAAATATAACTCTTTCCTTTTTCATCCCTCACAATTTTAGGCCACACAAATACACAATTCATACTTTCTTAATCTTCTTGCAAAGTCAAAATATGAGTTTATTATGGGACTGAATGAGTACAATTTTGGTCAATATTTTTTATCTTTTCAAAATTTTTTATCTTTTCAAAATTAATCAAAGTTTTCATTTGATGTAATTATTTTTGGTCTTGTTTATAAAACAAATCGTGAATGTTGTTATTTCTGTCTCTTTTGGATTCTATGGTACTCTCAAAGTACCATTCCTTTATCCACATAGATCAATCCAGATGTTGCAATTGAATTATTTAAATGTTCGTAAATTAAAAATGATACAATGGTAGGGGTGTAAATGAGCCATGCTGCTCGTGGATCGCTTGGGAAAAGCTCGACTCGAGTTCGGTCATATTAAGCTCGAGTCGAGTTCGGCTTGACTCGAATAGTTAACAAACTCAATTCAAACCTATTTATTTTAGGCTCGTGGCTCACGAGCTGGTTCGCGAGCCTTTGTGTCATATTTTATATATAATAAATATATATGTAATAATTACATATATAATTTTTTTGAAATATGTATCTAATTTAGGACTATTCCATTTTCAATACTTATCTTAGAGTATATTATAATAGTAACAATTACAAAAATAATAACATGTGAGTATTATTATTATTATAACTATAATCTGTAATAATATAATATGCACTCTTAATATTTATTGACAGTAAAATAATGAATAAAAATGTTAGTAAATAAGAGATAAACTAAAAATGAGAATGAATAAGTACATATATAATATCTTTAGCTCAAGTTTGAGCACCTTATTCGAGTTCAAACCTATAAAAATTAATTAGCGAAACTTGATCTGAGCTCGAGTCGAGCTCGGCTCGAGATCGAGCTCGAATTATTTAACTCGTCAAAGCTCGAGATCGAACGTAACTCAAGCTCGTGAATTCTTATCAAGCTCAAGCATACTCATGCTCGGGCTCGGCTCGTTTACACCCTACATTAATGGTATGGGCCAATCAAGTGAATGATAGCTAGGTACGTTACCCATTTTTAAATGGACATTGTAGTTGTCAAACTTAACAAAGTTATAAAATAAATTGCATAAATGGTACTATAATAACTATTGGTATTGCGCTACTTGGTATAGTAACTCTTAAATGATACAAATCAGTATCATAAGTATACGTAAATGTTTGAATTTACACTACTACTTACATTTCTGGCCAAAACATTCGCATGGTAGATATATTTGTATACATAGAGTTCACCCTAGAGTAATGACACAGAAAAAAGCGATATAAAGTGGAATATACACATAGAATTCGGGCGGTCATGTAGATTTTTTGACAAAAAACTTGAATAATATTATCGTTTAAGAGCCCGTTTGATAGCATGAAAATCAGCTGATTTGGCTGATTCTGCTGAAATTTATGAAGTTCTGGCTGAAGTGGCTGATTTAGCTTATTTAGGAAAAAAAAAATATTTTATTAATAAAATAAAGGAAAATTTATATGTAAAATAGCTAAAATGGACATCTACAGTAACTTCAGCCAATATAGCCAGAAAAGTAACTTCAACCTTACTTTTTCTGCTTATTACACAATTCAGCGCGCGAAAACAAAAATTACGTGTTTGGTGAAAAAGTTGACTGATAAACCTGATAAGCCGAAAAACACTTACCTACAATTATAGTACTGATTTATTTCATTTAACAGTTGTACCAAAATGTAACAATTAGCTTTTATGCATTTTACCCCAAAATTACCAAAGGGGCTCTTAATTAAACTACAAATTAAAATAGCCAATATATACAAAAAGAAAGCATTACCAGAAAGCGGTATAGCTGTAGAACTCAACTCCTATAGACATGAAGAGCAGAGACGCAGAAGAGAAAACAGCCTGCCCCAATCTCAATGCGAAGCTGGCGCTTGTTCCAACTGCTCCAGGTAAATCATCATTAATGGCCATTTTGGTGGACTCTGATGATACTTTATATGTTCTTAATTAACCTTAATAACAATTTGAATTTGATGATATATACGGTTGGGAAGCTCAGAAGCCAGAACTAATAATGTTATTAATAAATAATAAATAATAACATCAGAACTAATAATTTTTTTTCGAAAGAAAAAAAGTAAAACGCTTCTCGGTTCTCTTGTGTTGGTGCAATAAAGCGATCACGTACACCGAAGAAGATTCTGCATTTGGGGTTTGTTTGGATGCAGGGGAATTTTGGATTTGGGATTTGTTTCGGACTGAGAAGAGAATTCAACGTTGCACAGAGTTTGGAGTGGGGTCCAAACGAATACTTAGAGCTGCACGTGGTGTGCGGAGAGCCTTTCTTTTGGTGTTTTGAGGGACAGCGATGCCCATTCTTACCGACACAGCTTTACGTACTGTTGAGGATCGGTGGAGGATCAAATCCTCTTTTATTCAGTTTTTCTTCGTTAATTCTAAATCAATCGATTCTTAACACGATTTATTACACCACGTGAATCAAAATTTTGTCGTACAAAAATGATCTAGAGGAGGAAATTCTGGGTTGTCTACTTGTGTGAGATAAGTATTTATGGATTTCATAGTAGAAAGAATAAGAGCTCCTTTGGTATCGATTTATCATATTTATCAGCCAACTTTTTTACCAAACACATAATTTTTTATTTCGCGCGCTGAGTTGTGTAATAGTAAAAAAAATAAGATTGAAGTTACTTTTCTGGCTGTATAGGCTGAAGTTAACTGTAAATGATTATTTTAGATATTTTTTCATATAATTTTTTTTATTTAACGAATAAAATAGATTTTAAATATAATTTTTACATAAATAAGCAAAATAGTAATTGCTGCAACTAGGATAAAAAACCTTCCGAAATTCATATATACGACCACTTATAATTTATTGCTCAAATAAGACCGAACTGGTCTTATTAGGAAACATGACCAAATCGCCATTCCCGTTTTACCCCTGAAATATTTTAAGCCGCCTTAACCGTTTTTTTATTCGTTTCCTTTCTTTATTCTCCGGTCAGTTGCGCGCCTACTTCTTCTTCTTCCTTCCTGCGTTCAGTTTGTTCTTCTCTGCAAGTTTACGCAAACCTAGCTTTCAGAGTTCCAAATTAAGCGCGTGATCTTCAATTCGTCTTCCATACAACAACGTAACTTTCCGGTATGTAAAATCTACGCTAGCGATTACACTGTTTATTGTTCATGTCCCACTTAACGAACAGAATGATTGCTTTGGATTATCTCTGTATTAAATTTCATGCTTTTAAGGTTAGCACATGAATTCTGCATACTTTTTATTGTTATTATGAGCATCATCGTTGATTTTGTTTTTCAATTTGTTGCTCTTTATTTCGCTTTTTGATCATGACTATCATTCCTATCTTAATGAAATTTTACCGTATTGTCTGAGAAATCGATCACGAATTTAAGGCTAATTATAATATGCAAAAGTTTATTCGGCTTTATATGTATGTTATTGCCACCGTTTTGGCAGTATCATTTACATTACATGAAAATTAATTTATGTGTTGTTCATCCCTGATGCAATTGTGTTGTTCTTATGTTTCTTAGTTATGAATATGGATGCTGTTATACTGATTATGGTAAAAGTTGACGGGAGTTGGGACACAGATTATAATTTCAATTGCAATGCCATCTATGCCATGCAAGTTTGCTTTTCTGCTACATACACAGCTTTCAAGGAACAACTAGCATCTATATTTTCTCCTTACAAACCAAATAAGGACTTCAAGTTATCTTACATGGTTGATGGTTGTCCTCCCCCAGTTGTTATCCAAGATGAGGATACATTTCGTTTTTTCCTTAATCTTAAGTCTCTTCAAAGTGATTTTCAAAAATCTCCCTTGTGTGTTCAATTTTCGGCTGACATCATTTCTTCTCCCACACTTTCTGTTCCACAAAGTGTTATATCTAACATTCCTTCTTCATCAAACCAATCTTCTAGTCATATTCGTTCTTCCATTCTTACCACAAGCTATACTGAACAAGAATACATCACTGCCAACAATGAAACCAATTTTATTGATGCTTTCCAAAGTCATATGAGCAACACATGTGTTATATCTCGTAGTCCAACACCAGATGTTAGCCCTTGTCCATCACCTTCTTTTTCCACAAATAATGAGACATCTTTTGTTCCTCATAATTTGGACCTGATCACTCACTATCACCCAACTCAGATTTTGTTGCATGCTATTTACAAATCCAAAGCAGTTCTTCTTCACCATTTGAGGTTGTATGCCATAGACAATGTTTTCCAATTCAAGACACGTACATCAAGAAAGAAATGTTTGCATGTTGTTTGTAAGGATTCTAAATGTAAATGGTCTGTGAGGGCTGTTAGACTACGCGGTGTCCAAATGTTTCAGATCCGAAGGTATTCCCTCATTATTTTACATGTCCTTAACTCTTCTGTCTTTCAGTTTTATTCCAATACTTTGGCATAATTGTACTACTTGACATATTCAATTTTTTTGTATTTTTCCTGACAGGTTTAAATCATTACACACATGCTCTATGGATTTCAGGCAAGGCAAACATCGCCAAGCAACATACCGGACTATTGCAGATCTTGTAGCTCATAAATACTTGGATGCTTCAAGAAAGCCTTATACGCCAAACCAAATAAGAGAAGACATGCTCCTGAACCATGGGATTTCCATGTCTTACAAGACGGCATGGAGAGCTCAGAAGATAGCTATGCAGAAACAGTTTGGATCAGATTCTGAGTCCTACCAAATGCTACCGGCTTTGGCTTACGCTCTTGAAAAGGCAAATCCAGATTCCCTTATTTCTCTTACAACTTCAGATGATGATGTCTTCCAATATTTTTTCATGTCCCTGTTACCTTGGAGAGAGGCATGGAAATATTGCAGACCCGTTCTAATTGTAGACGGGTCATTTCTGAAGGCCTACTACAAGGGTACGCTTCTCACAGCCTGTGCACAGGATGCAAATGGCCACATTGTCCCCCTAGCCTTTGGTATATGTGATGCAGAATGTAAAGAGTCTTACCTGTGGTTTTTTTCTAAAGTTCGTGAAGCATTGATGTTCCGTGAGGACATGTACATTGTATCAGATAGGCATAAGGGCTTGATTAGTGCAGCTAAACGTATTTTCCCCCACGCTGGTCATGGCTATTGTGTTGAGCATTTGCGTCGTAACATGATTTCTAAATTTAGGGGCTCCACAGTTGATTTATGTTGGAAGTTCAAAGCTGCGTATATGGCTGCAACTGTGAAGGAGTACGAAGAGTATATGTCATTGTTGGATTCTGAAGATATCCGTATACGGCCGTGGCTAGATAAAATTGGCAGTCATAAATGGGCTAAATGCATGTCCGGTCCTCGGAGGTATGATATAATGACATCAAACTGTGCGGAGTCAATGAACAATGTTGACGTTTCAGCAAGGGAGTATTCTGTCTCCAAACTTATTGATTTTTTGAGAGGAAGGATGCAACAATGGTTTGCTGAGAGAAAAGAAAAGGCTGAAATGACAACAACTATTTTGTCAAAAAAAACGTGAGAAGGTTCTTGTTGCGCTTCAGAGTCAAGCTAGCAGACTGAGGGTTAGTTCTGGTTCTGCACTTCTGATTTGTTTGTTTATTCATATTACTGCCACAATTTTGGCATTTTCATAAATGTATTATTTGTTTCTGCCATCGTGTTCAGAATTCATGATTTCTATTTTTGCTTTTCCCAATGTCAAATATCATATTAATTTGCATTTTTTTTATGTCAGGTCAAGCCGTGTTCATTTTTGGAGTTTGAAGTGATTGATAGGCATTCACGCTCCTTTGTTGTTGATCTCAATGCCAAGACATGTACATGTGGGGAGTTTCAACTTTCTCATTTTGTTTGCGTTCATGCAGTTGCTGCTATCAATTTTCGACCTCAACTGTCTTGCTATGATTACATTTCCCCATACTACACACGTCATTACTGGTATTCCACATGGAATGGTGTCATGCACCCAATCTGTGATGCAGCATCTTGGTTGATTCCTTCCAACGTTTTGAGTATTCAATGCAAGCCACCCCTTTGTGAGAAAAGACCTGCTGGTCGCCCAAAAAAGTCTAGAATTCCATCCATCGGTGAACATTGCAGTACCAAACGTAAAAGATGTTCTCGTTGTCATGCTGTTGGCCATAACAAGAAGACTTGTCGCAATGCCATGCGTGTCGTAGATAGTCAATCATGATTCCACTGTATTAAACACTTTCTATTTTGTATTTCCAATAAGCTTCTTGGGCCATATTATACAATTTTACTCTTTACTCTAATACATGTAAACCACCAATCTGCAGTTATTGTTGTGTTGTGTTAAATATCAAATGTCTGTCACTAGTATGTTTTTTATGATTATAATGCATATGTATACCTGTGCTGTTTTTCCATATATTTGGCATTATGGCCGTTTTATGATTATAATGCATATGTGTCCACTTTTTTGAGTCCTATTTGTGCATATGTGTCCACTTTTAGTCTTAAACGGGTAATTATCTCTTATTTAAATTAGGTCAATGATAGTTGAGATTAATCTTGTCCATTTTCCACATTTAAATTATTTATTCCCTAATAGCAATCCTTCCATTCCACATTACAACTCATAATTTTTCCATTTTCTTAGAATTTTAATCCTTGTTTACATGTACCTATTAAGGTATTCCATAGACGTTACATTATTTTTGCATTCACACCATTACTGTTACATTCATTCACAATTTCGTTTTTCTTCCATATTATTGGCATTATGGGCTCTATGTTTTATTCCTCTAAACTGCCAATATTTCGGAATTTTCAAACATTACGTACTACATTCTGCCACATATATTGGCAGCTCATGAATCTCTTCTAAGTAAATACATGTATTCACTTTTTATTATAATTCAGTACTGTAGCTGTTAGGCTTATTCATATCGAGTTGTCTCAATGATTAAAAACCCAATGTATACCCAAGTGAACTTTTAATTGAGTTTTGTACATGTTATGCTTTTTTGAACTCTGACCTTTTCCAGATGCTGGTATAATACTTGTCTCATTAAGAAAAATGTCAATCTGTATCAATGTGACTACATAATAAACCAAATATAATTTTCTGGAAAAAAATGCCAATGTTTAGGCATTTCAAAACATAGTATATGAGATTATGCCACATATATTGTCAGCATATTGTGCTTCGCAA